ATTGCACTCAAATCCACGGTATGGGATTGAGGCCATCACTGAACCAATCATCCTGCAACTTCACTGGACCGAAGTCCTAATAACATCACTAGACCGAAGTCATACTCTTATGCCATGAATACATTATGTGAAACATCTTAATAACCAAATGACCACTGCTAGTCAAAATGCATCATCATTTATATAATCATTATAAATATCAACACATACATCATAACGCGAAACAACATCCTCATAACATGAACGATTCATTATATACACATATGTCATACTAAAATAATCTCTGAATCATCTTATTCATAAAAGCACAGGTACTAGAATTATACTTCTTAGTATTCATTTTATTACACCTAATCATGACTCATTGTGTTAGCTATCCAATACTTCGAACGACGCCTCAAACAGAGTTCTAAAACTCAAGTTATGGCACTTTAAAAATTATGATGATGTCCATCGCTTGCTGCTCTCCCGGAGACGCACACTGCTCACCTGAGCCTCGCCCTGACGACGTGGGAGCTACAACCTACTAATTCTTCTCTGGCCTCCATCGCCCGATGATGTATCTTGCTCTCCTGGTAATATATCTCTCACTCCTGCATCGCCCGACGATGACGCGAGCGAGACACTCAAGTAGCTCCACTTTTCTGTCCATCCCTTCGCTTCCAAGTTTTCCTGGAGACATCATCATCACCCGATGATGCTTCCTATCACCCGACAATCATGCACGAACATGACTTCCCTGTTGCGATCTCTACATTGTATCAGTATGATTTTTACATGGCTTTATCATATTACAGATCTCAAATTATCATAATTTCACTTGGTTTCATCATATAACAAAGACACAATTTATCATGCATCATATGCATCAATTATTTGCAAGAAAACATCACAATTTCACCAATTTATCATCAAACGTCATATTAACATCATCAAACAAAAACCCAACACAAACCTACAGTTATCTAAACCTTAGATCAATTATAATAACAACGATAAACCCCCTTACCTTAGATTCCTAGAAGCAATTTATTTCCTCTTCTCGCGTACTACAGAAACCCTCTGAGTTCTTTAGTGCCCTAGCTTTGCTCTGTCTCTATTTTCCCCAAAAGCGATCGTACAGAATGAGCAAACACTGATACTATTTTCGTTTTGTCAATCTTACCCCTTGGACCCCTAATATGTTCTTCCCTTCTTACCCTCACTTACTTCACCATATTACTACCTTGTCCTCATAGTCTCTACATCATATTTTATTTCTATTTAATTAATTAAAATAATTCCAACTAATCATTCTAATTATCTAAAAATTATTCTAAAATACTCTATATCTTCTTAATTCCTACAACCCCAACATACACCACACAAAATATCATATCAAGCATCATGATCATCCATACATCGCATAAACATCATAATTTAGTCACAAATACTCAACATAAATTAATTAAATAATTAAATAAATAATCTAATTATTTTGGGGTGTTACACAATTCATCCCAAAAAATGATGCATGCGAGTTTGGGGCGGTTTCATATAAGTAAGGATTTTATAGTAAAATATAATCATTTTATCTATCAGTTAAATCAAACATTAAAGGGTTAGATCATTTAGTTTATACTTATAAATAAATAAAAACATAAACTACAATAGTTGGAAATCGAAGTATGTCCTGAGTTGTTTTTCCCCTTGGTTATATTAAAAATAGAAGGAATATATGATTTTTATTGTTATAAACAATAAAAGATGGTGCGCCTTAGAATTATATCTCAGTTTTTATTTGGTTGAGGTGAAAGCTTCGTCATGAAATGTATTATTTGTAGTAGTGATTGGACCTAAGAGGATTTAAGAAAAGTCAAGCTCAATTTTAAAGTTTAACATCTTATAATAAATGTTTTAAATTCCACGGTATTTTATCAAGTTTCTATCATTGTTGAGCCATGAATGGAATACCTGTGGACTATTAAAGTTGTCCTTATAGGTTTTAAGTTTGCCTATGGCCTTTGGGTGAATTTCTCCAAAAGTATCCTTACTGATATCAACATGGAATCTCTTTTTTTTTATATGACTAATGACTTCCTGAATTGTTATCACCAGCCCCTCCCTTTCAAGTATTTTAGACTTCTAGTTGGGGAAATTTCATATTTAGAAGAAACTTGAGAACCTCTTATCTCCATCATGTCTCTCATTGACTATGTTTTGAATGTTATTCCTATTTTTCTCTATCTTTCCCCAAGCTGACAATTAAGGTTTGAAAGAGTATTGTTAAAATATAAAAGAGGTTCATATGGAGTAGGGTTACTAGTACTGAGAATATTTCTTGAGTTAGTTGGGTTGATGTGTGTAAACACAAGAAGAATAGTGGACTTGGAGTCCATCACATTTACTTAGTAAATCTTGCTATTTTGGGAAAATAGAGGTGGCGTTTAATTTCCGAGTCTACCGGCCTTAAAGATATTTTGACTGTTAGATATGTGATTCAAGTTGTCATCTCTTTTAAAGAGGAAATATTGTTTAGGCTTAAGTCTGCTTCTTCTTGGTGGATAGGAGTGTCTTCGTCGGTTCTAAATCTAGTGTCTCCTCATATTGGTTTGTGGATAGTCTGGGGCAGAAGGTGAGATAGAGTTCGCTCACTTCTTTTTGGAATTATCCTTGGGTGTGGTCCACCCCTCCTTAGAGTTACTTTTTGTAGGGTTTTCTCGATCTATAAAAAAGAGAGTAAGCAGAGAGATATTGGCTCTTGGGTCGATGAGGTCATGGTTTAGAATTTTATTTAGAGGAGACATCTCTTTGATTATGAGCAAGATTTTGTAGATGACCTTCTCTTGACCAATCAGAGTGTTACTCTTCTTTGGAGAGCGATCGTTGGTGCTGGTCGTCGGGGGTGAGCGGTGTTTATTTATCGCCTCTGCATACTTCAATCTCTTGGAGTCTCAATTTTCTCTTTCCTCTTTCACCGCTAATTTAGTCAGTGCCCTAGCTTCCAATTGGTGTAGTTGGGCACCCTCGAAAGTTGTAATTTTTTTGACAACTTCTCTAGGAAAAGATCAAGTTGGTCTTTCTTGCGGATTATGTGTTGGGTATTTAAAGTTGGTCTCTCACTTGTTTGTCAATTATAATATGTTTGCTATCCTGAGGTAAAGATCTTTTGGTAGTTAGGGAAGGTAGTTGTCTTGTCAGGTGATATTTGTTTTTTTTAGATTTTCTATTCCTTAAGGGATTTGGCTAGGATTATAGGAGATCTTATCATGATTTGACATTCAGTGGTGTGGATCTTATTGATAATCATGATTAAGTTTATCTTTATAAGATTGTCAATTAACGAAGATGCTTAAGAGGATAAATGTATCTCGCTTGCCTGAAAATTATATCTTGACAGGTCGTCAGAGTGTGATTATTCTTTCTTTAATTGGTTAACAGCCCCTATTCTTTGCTTGCGTCGATAGCAGTTCAAGTGTTTGATAAGGACGTGGTTCTAAGTTGAGCGTGGAGTTTCCAGGTCTGGTTATGATGATATTTTTTTAGGTTTTAACTTGACACACCCATACTTATACCTGACAACACCCCCCACCCCCCCCCCCCCCCCCCCCCACACACACACACACACACACACACCACCCCATATTTGTATGCTTTTGAAAAAAGTACCGGAATTTTTAAAAAAAATCTGAAAATTTGAGTATATTTGAAATTTCCGATACAATATAAAAAATTTCACTATATTTGAAATTTCTGATACAATACATGAAATTTCAGTATATTTCAAAATTTCTAGTACAGTATAAGAAATTTTAGTATATTTCAAAATTTTCGGTAGTATAAAACAATTTTTTTATTTTATTTCAAAAAATTACGTCAGAAATTTGAAATATTCGAAATATCGAAAAATTCATATGAACTTCCAAAAATTGTAAAATATCAAAAAATTTGTTATTTCCTACCAAATATTTCCTTAATACCAGAAATTTCACTACATATACCAAAAATTTCATTCGAAAATTCTTCCCACCTCACCAAAAATATTTCTGAAATAATAAAAATTGAGAGGTAAAAATTGAGAGGTGCTACTAGGTTCATGTCAAGTTAAAACCTCTTGCTTTTCTTGGGTTCTAGCCTCTTTTTTTTTTAGTTTGAGACCTTGTTTTTTCTTGTTATGTTTTCTTTTATCTCTCTTCAGTTTTTTTAGGGTGTTAGTGTACTTTTACCATCTTATATTTATATAATTACTTGTCTTTTAAAAAAAACTAAATTCAAAATGTGTTCAGTAAAATTGAATTTAGTAAAATTAAATGTTGGACTAACTTGTACCTGTAAAATAACATAAAAAAGACATATTTAATTAATATTTAATTTTATTTCGAGTAAGATAAAAAATCGTGAAAAAATGATTACCAAAAAGTTTTTTTTTGAAATGAATTTATAAACTACTAGTAAGAAAGCTATAAGCTAAAAAATGTGGCCTTCCTAAACATAGTCTTTGTGACGTTCATAATTTCAAACTCAAAATTTAAGCAAGTTGATGAAAAACAGATGGGTTCATAGAGAACGAACATGTGCTAATGCACATCTTCATAAAGAAGAATATACTTTGTGAGCCACAACATTTGAAGCTCAGAGATTATAATTAGCCAAGAGAAAAAAAAGATGTTTGAACTGTGATAAACACTTGACTTTAATTTACAGAATAGTTTAAGAAAGAAACATTATATACAACTCAAACGAGGCAAATAAAATACAGAGTTCAAAAGACAAAATCAATGTCTCAAAATGGCAGTTAAAAACTACTATAATGAATCATCAGCAAACAGTGTTTCATGTTTTTTCAAGATGACCATATTTCAGCTGTTGTGTCTCTGTTCTCAACAAAGAGGAAGCAGAATATGTATTGAGCTCACGGACGACAGAGCCCTCGTAGTTATTCAAAACAAACTATTATATTAGAGACTATTATAACCAACAAAAGGGAACATAATAAAAATAGAACCCTGGAGAGAATAAAATCAAGAGGACAACCCTGCATTTCCCATAGCAGATCCAGGATGGTAATGAACCATTTCCATCCACATCAGCTCCCTTATCGTCTCTTCCCCTAGATCCTCATCAATGTCAAGATCAATTGGAATGATAGCTGGAGGGTCAGAATTAGGATCATAGAGAGAGGCCATGAAAGGGTGTTGAAGTGCTTCTGTAACACTAATCCTCTTTGTGGGATCAAAAACAAGCATCTTAGCTAGTAGATCAATTGCCAGCGGATGTGCATTCGGGTAAAGTCTGGAAAACGGGGTTCCGGGAGAATATGGAAGTGATTTGATGTACCTCTTTGCCTTTGGATTATCAATAAATTCGATATCCTCCTCCCTTTGACTACCAAGAATATTGATAATAAGCTTTAGTTGGTTGAGACACTCTGAACCAGGGAAAATAGGTTTTCGTCCAAGGAGCTCTGCAAAGATGCACCCCACTGACCATACGTCAATAGATGTTCCATAGTTGTCACAACAGAGTAGGAGTTCTGGTGCCCTATACCATCGAGTGACTACATACTCCGTCATGAACTGGTTCTTGCTGCAGTTTGTGCGTGCTAACCCAAAATCACAGATTTTTAGGTCACAATTTGCATTAATCAGAAGATTTCCAGGTTTCAAGTCGCGATGAAGGATGTTAGCTGAGTGTAGATATTTCAAGCCCCGAAGCAACTGCAACAGAAGAACTTTCTATTAGTACATATAACAATCACTCAAGCAACACAGATGTTTATACATAATTTATAACTTAATAAAGCGCAACAAATCTGCTGCCACTGCCCGTTTGATGCAAAAGGACGGTTTTATTAATAGGAGTTTCATGTTCAGAATGGATTCTTCTGCAAGATTGTCACATACTAACAAATGAGTTCCAAAAGTGTGTTTCCTATAATGTTAACTCCAAAATAATAAACACACATTGCATACATATATACAAAAAAATGGCATATTTGACACAAGAATCCAAAGTTACCCTAACAATAATTCATACCTGAAAGAGGAAATATTGGCAATGATCATTAGACAATGTTTGAGAAGATTTAATAATCTGATGCAAATCGGTGTCCATGAGTTCATAAACAAGATAAACATCCTTAAAACTACTCCTATTAACAGGCATCATAATATCCTTCAAAGCAATAACATTCTCATGATGAAGATGTCGAAGCAGTTTAAGCTCCCGCAAAGTTCTAAGCGCATCAACACGATTCTCAAACGCGTTCTGTATCTTCTTGATAGCAACTTTCTCATTTGTCTCCCTATTAACAGAAGAACACACAATCCCATAGGCTCCTCGACCAATCGGCTTAATCGGCACATATTTAGTGTCGATCTCAAATAGTGTTTGCCACATGGAATAATAATGCTTTCCTTCCGCTCTTATCCCGTTCGGAGGCTCGACCGGAGTCGCCATTTCCTACAAATCAACAACACCAACACCAACAAACAATCACGATTATCAACAATTATGAACAATTCAGAATGTTAATTTAAAATTTTCCATGTTAAGTACAGAGTGAAATGAATCAGTTTGGTAAATACTTAATATCAATCATTATTATTGAAAACCAAAAAAAAAAAAACCTGAGTCCAATTACTGCAATAACTTCAATTAATCAATGAATTGATACAATTCAATGAGAGTGCAGATCCAATTAAGAAGCTAAAGAAAAGAGAGAAATTCCAAATGTAGAACAAGTTAAAAAAAAAGAAAGAAAACCTTATCGTGAAAAGACGGTGAGGAAGATTGAAAATGAAGAAAACAATTGAATCGTGATGAGTGAAGTTGAGTGTGAATAGGTTTTGTAAATGGATCGATGAAGAAAATATATTCTCTAGGTCGTCGTGACCAAACGAGAAAGGGTTCGGATTTTTGGATTGTATCAATGGATATGATATGATAAATGAATCTCTCTTATTTTCTCTCTCTTGTTTCTCTCTCTTTCTTTGTCAGAAACACAACAAACAACAAAGCACATACATACACACCCGCGTTTTCCTCCAACACCCTCTGTCTCACGAAATATTTAAATTCTTTTTTTTTCTTTTCTTCTTTTATGTGTCTTTGTTACTACGCTATTTTAATTAGTACTTTAATTAGTACGTACAATATAGTAATAATTAACAGCAATGTTATTCCTACCCCATTTCTTACCCTTATACCGAATTTACACAATATTATGAAGAGTGAATAATAGTACGAATAGTGTCATCATTACTGTGCCATGAAGAATGTTACGGTTGTGATGATTTTTAATAAATAGAATAAAATTGATTAATATATTATAAAAAATTGATTAATATTATGATAAATTTGATTAATAAATATATAGATATTAAAAATAATTTTTAGTAGTAAAATAAAATTGATTAATAAAATATAAAAAATTGATTAATAAAATGATAAAGTTGATTAATAAATTTTTAGTATTAATATAATATTAATTAATAAAATATAAAAAATTAGTTAATAAAATAATAAAGTTGATTAATAAATAATAAAATATTAAAAATAATTTTTAATAGTAAAATAAAATAAAATAGTAATAAAATTTAAAATATTGATTAATAAAATTATAAAATTATAAAATTAATTAATCAAATGATTTTATATCAATACTATTTGATTTAAAAACTAAAAAACACTTAAAAATTATAATTTTAATATTTCTTTAAAAATATTATTTGATTATTATAATATTTTACTGTCATTTGGTAAACAAGCTAATGTACGAAGAAAATGGTATAAAAATATATTTCTGAACAATTTATGTGATAATAATTATAAATTGTTTGTTCAACTACTTGATATTTTGATGAAATCTATTAATAATATTTATTGAGAATAATTTTTATGCATTCTCAGTGTAATCTTTTTTTATATAATCAATCAATAAAAAGTTAATAATTTATTATATTATTAAAAAAAATTAAAATTAAAATGAAATATAATTAAATATATGATTGTGATTGATTAATAATATAAAATTATTTTGCTTGTTTTTTCATATTTATTACTATGTTATTTGGTAAATCTTTTATTAAATTAGAGTATGTTTCGTACTCGGATCTTATGCACTTTAAATCTTAAAACGTAATGTAATTGCACGCAAAGCATAGCAAATCAAATCAAATGTATTGAATATTTTTTCCAGCTAATAATAAAACGTAGCGTAAATACGACGATATAATGACCGTATTAACTTTTATAAGTAGTACGTTAAGTAATCTTAACGACTGATGAGGCGCCATAATCAAATATTTTATTTTTATTTTTAAAACTAAAATAAAAGGGCATTACTAATACATTTATATTTGATTCGAAACAATTATTTAATTCATTAATACATTAAAATAAATTTAACAATTTTCTAATTTATTTATTATTATATTTTTAAGAATAATGCTAACTTATATTCCAAAGATATATGTTAAGAAATTTACAAATAAAAAATTTGTATTAAGAAAAGCAATAAAAAAATAACTATAAATTTTTATATTTAGCTCTTAACTTGGTATAAATTAGCGATTTTTTTTATTAATAACCATGTATTAAAATAATATTTCGCAAATAACCGGGTTTCGGAAAAAATTACACAAATAACCATGTTTCAGATGACTCCCCAAAGGAGGAGCCATCTGAAATGGCGCATGCACCTAGCATTTTGCCCTAGGCGCCATCTCATTTGGCGCCTCCCTTGGCTTTTAGCCAAGTGAGATGGCGCCTCCTCCTTAAAAGTGAGAGGAGGCGCCATCTCACTTGGCTCCTAGGGCAAAACTAGGGCAAAATGCTGTTTTATAAATAATTCGTCCGTTTCTCCGAAATTTTTCACACTTTCTCGCACTGTATTTTTATTTTATACTTTGTTATTTGCGTCATGACGTCGCCTATGATTTTTAGCAGAGATGGTTACGTTATCTTCTCCGCCACGAAACCTGCGATGAAAATGAAATTCTGGCACATTCACTCCATGGAGCGTCTGAAGCGGGAGTTGATGCGATGGCTAGATGGAGACATTGTGGAGGGGGGGAAATTTGAAGGATCCAGCGAAAACGAACAACAACCTCACATGCGACAGGAAGACCTAATGTGTGGTTGGAGGAAGTCAAAACAGACAGCGATGTAATGTTGATGATGCATGGGTCAGATGAAATTGTGTTAACAGTTGTAATTTCCTAGATGGAATATCGTTAATTATTCTTGTACGCGTTTTATTAATTGTAGCAAAATTTGTTAACGGAAAACCCAAATGTTTACAACACAATTATGAAAAGATTTTATGTATTACAATATTTATGTGGTCGAGGCAGACGCCCGATTCGGACAGTTTTTACGATTGTGTCCGACCTGACGGCATAAACTATACTTTCTTTCCAACCTGTCAAGATCATCCATTTCTGTTGTGATGCGCTTACTTTTGGGACGACCCTTCTTGTTCCTTCGCATTTGGTCATTGTGCCACACTATTTCGCCGTCGTATTCAGGCCAATAATCTGGTTTTGCTACTGTGATACGGTGGGAGAACTGACTTGAAGTTTTGCGTTTGTTTTCGCACTTGTTCGGTTTAGCAAGAGTCTCCACCGACTTTTTATTTTATCCTAAGGAAAGGTTAAAAAGCACAGGAAAAACCTTTGAGATGTTTTCGTGGGTTCGGGGGGTAGATTATGAAAAGGGAAGGTGCTAGCACCCTTTTCATCCATGGTTATCCATGGGCTCTTAGTTACTTGTTTTAGATCACTTGCCTTGATTTTCAATTGTTTGAAATGGTGTTTGTGTGTGTGTGGTTTTGAAAATGTTTTGAAAAAGATACATTGTCTAGGCAACCATTGTAACAATTCTTTACTCGAATGTTTTACAAGGGTGTTTGTCTTTTTGAAAAGATATTTCAATGTTTTTGAAAGTTGTTTTGAAAGTTGTGTTGTGGAATGTGTTTTGAAAGTAGGCAAGTGTGTTTTGCAAGTTTGATCAAGTAACTAAGAGTTGTCTACCCTATTGTACTCAAAGGTCTTTCTTATGTTTTAACCCTTTTAACAGTGTTGTTTCACCATTGTATTTGGTGAACAACCTTGTGTTAGGATGTTAACTGGACGGACGCGGGTCATCGTATAGACCATGAATGCAATAGTGTCAAGTATTTTGGCAATTTGCTTGAGGGACTATGATCATTTTGTTTAAGCAACTTCGAAAGCGTCATCGAGGGACTATGATCATTTGATTTGTTTTTATTTTGCCAAAGTAATTGACATGCAAACATGGCCCATTTTGGAAGGCAACAAGCGGGATTACCCTAGGGGTGTGTTTACAGTGATTTCTGGTAAACAACCGCTAGTCCTCCAAACTATCAAATAATCTTAATGACTGTTATTTAATCTCTTTGGTAACTTGCAGGATTGACTAGATTGATCCTATGGGGTATTGGTCGTTTGGATAAATCTAATTGCAAAACTGATATTCATAGTTAGGATTTGTATTTAGAATGTTTTATAGACGTTCAATTCACTTCGATTACCATGTTAAAAGAATCTAATGACATGATCAAGTAAAGAAATACGAAACTGAATTGAATGACTAAAGATTCGATTGCAAAGAAATGTTTAAATGCAGAAATAAGTAAATGACTTTGAATGTAAAGACTTTAATGTAAAAAGCATGAATGTAAAAGCATGAAATGTAAAAGAGTTTCTGAAATGTAAAGGATTCGAATAGAAGAAAAGCGTTTAAATGCAAGAAATAAGTAAATGACTTTGAATGTAAAGGTATTTGAATGACATTGACATGAAAATGGAAGATAAACTGGAAAAGATAAAGAGTTTTACTGAATTATAAATGTTTGGTGTTATCATACGTACATTGTTCGAGCATTCGTTTCCCTATCCATGTGGTATTTTGAATGTTTACTGAATTTTATACAATAGATATGACACACGAAATCCTAACACTAAGACTTCTATTTATACTACTTCGACCATAACGGTCTTGCTTATAAGATTCTTCCACGTTCGGAACATGCAGAGCACTGCTCCTCTCTAGCTTCCACGCGTCTTCGAACGCTCCAACGCATATATATTTGAATTCCAACATCCCGCTCGCGTTTGAATTTCAAATGCCTTGGCAATCTTCGCTTCGAACTCATTTCACAGACACAGTCTCGTTACCACTTCGAGGCTTCTTTTAAATATATCTTCACAACTATCACTCGAAGCTCCGAGCTTTGACATGTCCGTTCGAAGAACCGCTTCTACCATTCCGAACTGTAACATTTTGCTTTATTCCAACGAAACATCCATATTGCTTCATTTCGAACTGTATCATCAAAATCTTCAGCCAACAAAATGCCCCTTTAAAATATGTATTTCGATCCTTTGAGAAACACTTATTTTAAATATATTTGCAAGATTTTGATGTGACTTTTGAGTAATCATAACATTTACTGTGTATGACTTCAACCATGTCAATCACGACGCCTCTTGGATTTCTTAACCGTCTTGAATCAGTATTCACAGCATGGTGCGGTTAAAAAACAACGATTATTATTAATCACGCTTATTACCAATATCAGCCTTTACGCCACCTCCTCCTCAATCCAACCCACGACTCCCACGTATCCTAGTCTCACTTAGTGGATGTTTAAGCTTCCACACTATAAAAACTAATCAACTTAGTCTTTTATTCTTTTTTCACATTCTGAATCTTTTTCTTCCTCTCCTCTTACTAAAACCCTAAAACTTCCAACAATCTTCAACAATGTCTTCAACAACATCATCCCAACTGAAGAAAACTTCCAAGAAGAAAAGCAAGAACACAGGAACAATTATGGAAAGCAAGGTCGGTACTTATCAAGGTCAATCTGTGCTTATCCCTCAAATGATCTCCAAGCTTTGTTAGATAACGTGACTGGGTGTCTTCTTCAAGACGAATTTGCTACTAATAA